GATTCTCTCTCATCATTGATGTTTCTCTCTCTCTCCCTTCCTCTCTGAAATCAATAAAATTATATATTTTTTATTTTTAAAAATTTTTAAATATATTTTTTTATTGATTTCAGAGAGGAAGGGAGAGGGAGAGTTAGAAACATTAGTGATGAGAGAGAATCACTGATTGGCTGCCACCTCCTGGGGATCGAGCCTGCATCCCCAGGATGTGCCCCTGACCAGAATGGAACCCAGGACCCCTCAGTCCTCAGGCCGATGCTCTATCCACTGAGCCAAACCGGCCAGGGCGATAGTTGACCCTTTTCGTGCGATTTGTGGCTCTCTGTGTATCTTCTCCGGAGAAGCGGCTATTCCAGGCCGGTGCCCATTTTTAACGTATATGTTGAATAGGTTAAAGATCTGTCACCTCACTGCTGCAGCCTGTGAAGACCTGGCCTCCACCCTCCCTGTGAACCAGAGCCTGATGGAGCTGGACCTCGGCCTGAACGACCTGGGGGACCCCGGGGTGCTGCTGCTGTGTGAGGGCCTCAGGCACCCCCAGTGCAAACTCCAGACCCTCCGGTGAGTCCAACTGTGCTCTCGCCATCGCAGGAGGCCCAGTTCCCAGTCCTCGTCCTTCTCACCCGGCTCCCTGGGGCATGCTCCCTCCCCGCCTCTCCTAACCTCCAGCTCCACCTGCCCCCTTTCACAGAGCGCTCTGCCTCAGGACCTTTGCACCTGCAGCTCTTTCTTCCTGGAATTCCTTTCTGCTCTGCTGTCCTAGGTTTTACCCTGATAACATCTGTTTTCTCGGTTAGGACTCACAATGAATGCTTCTTTACCGTGGACACTTCCCATAACCCCCCTTTTAAAAATCATACATTTTGGCCTAACCGGTTTGGCTCAGTGGATAGAGCGTCAGCCTGCGGACTGAAGGGTCCCGGGTTCGATTCCGGTCAAGGGCATGTACCTGGGGTGCAGGCACATCCCAGTAGTGGGTGTACAGGAGGCAGCTGATCGATGTGTCTCTCTCATCGATGTTTCTAACTCTCTATCCCTCTCCCTCCCTCTCTGTAAAAAATCAATAAAATATATTTTAAATAAATAAATATACTGTAGTCCTAGTTACAGTGTATAGAGCATCGGCCTGCGAACGGAAAGGTCCTGGGTTCGATTTCGGTCAAGGGCACGTACATGCCCAGGTTGTGGGCTCAATCCCCAGGGGGGGACTGGCAGGGGCCAGCCGGTCCACGATTCTCTCTCATCATGGATGTTTCTATCTCTCTCTCCTCTTCCTTTCTGTCTAAAATCAATAAAAATATATTTTAAAAAAAAGATGGAAAGGAGAAAAGTTCCTGCACAGCTCCTATACATGTATTGTTTTCTTTTTTTTTTTCTTTTTTCATTTTGAGGGTATGTTTGTTAAAGCTGGGGACAGCTCACTGGAGAGTCAGAGAGAAGGGGGGCCTGGAAGGCAGGTTCAGGGGGTGAGCCTAGGAGGAGCCATTGCTCTCCTGGTTGCAAATCTGGAGAACCCTCAGAGTTTAGGGGATGCAGGCCTGAGAGGGAAGAAGGGGGGTGGGGGAGGGAGAGGCGGAGGCGTGCTCCTGGGAGGGCAGCGCCTCTTCCCGTGTCTATGTTATTTAGCTTTCTATATTTGAGAACGCTGGTGGGTAGACAATGTTCCTACAGCGCATTTCTCTCCTAATTAGTGAAGTTGAGCCTCACTTTGTGGGCTCATTAGCTTTTTTTGGCCTCCTCGTCCGGTGACTTGCTGATGCCTGGAATTTACCAGTAAGTCCTTAGCTTGTCTTCCGTGGCTGTCTTACTCACGTGCAGATCCGCAGTCCCCGAAATATTTTTTAAAAATATATTTTATTGATTTTTTTACAGAGAGGAAGGGAGAGGGATAGAGAGTTAGAAACATGAGAGAGAAACATCGATCAGCTGCCTCCTGCACACCCCCTACTGGGGATGTGCCCGCAACCCAGGTACATGGCCTTGACCGGAATCGAACCCGGGACCCTTGAGTCCACAGGCCGAGGCTCTATCCACTGAGCCAAACCGGTTAGGGTTCCCCTAAATATTTTAAAGGTGAATTGTTCACTTACTGCATACTTTGGAAACATATTTTCTTTCTTTCTTTAATTTTTTTTAAAAAATTTAATGTATTTTTTTATTGATTTCAGAGAGGAAGGGAGAGAGAGAGATAGAAACATCCATGATGAGAGAGAATCATGAACCGGCTGCCTCCTGCCCGCCCCCTGCTGGGGATCTGGTCCCCAACCCCCGCATGTGCCCTTGACCAGAAGGAATTGAATTCGGGACCCTTCAGGCCAGCGGTTCTCAACCTGTGGGTCGCGACCTCTTTGGGGGTCGAACGACCCTTTCACAGGGGTCGCCGAAGACCATCGGAAAACACATCTATAATTACATATTGTTTCTGTGATTCATCACTATGCTTTCGTTATGTTCAATTTTGGGTAAGATTCCATTTTCAGATATATGTTTTGTCAATATTTTGTCCAATTTTGTGAGTTGTCTTTTCACTTGCTTGAAAGATGGTGTCTATTCTTTAACACTCTCTTCCCTGTGTGCCTTCCCTTTTCCTGCCTTCTCTCTCTCTCTCCCTCTCTCTCCCCACTTCCCACCTGCCCGTTCCTCCCTTCCTCGCCCTCGCTGCTCTCTCAGGGCCGGTATGGGGTCTCTCTCTCTGCCCTGACCACAGCGCCTGGCACCTGAGCTGTGAGCTTTCCAGGCGGTGTCCCGGAGGTGCCAACCCTGTGCCCGTGTCTTCCAGGCTGGGCATCTGCCGGCTCAGCTCCGCCGCCTGCGAGGGCCTGGCTGCCGTGCTCCAGTCCAACCGCCACCTCCGGGAGCTGGACCTGAGTTTCAACGACCTGGGCGACCGGGGCATGTGGTGGCTGTGCGAGGGGCTGCAGCACCCCACCTGCAGGCTCCAGAAGCTGTGGTGAGGCTGGGGGCTGGGCATGGGGCTGGGACGGGGCAGGGGAGAGGGAGGGAGCCATTGTTTGCTTTCTCTTTCTTTTCCTTTGTTTATATTTTTAAATATATTTTTTATTGATTTCAGAGAGGAAAGGAGAGGGAGAGAAACATCAATGATGAGAGAGTATCATAGATTGGCTGCCGATCAAGCCCACAACCACTGAGCCACGCCACCTGGCCTGCCTTTGTTTATTTTATTTTATTGTTTTAAATATATATGTTTATTGATTTCAGAGAGGAAGGGAGAAGGAGAGAGAGAAACATCCATGATGAGAGAGAATCATTGATCGGCTGCCTCCTGCCCGCCCCCCCACTGGGGATCGAGCCCACAACTTGGGCATGTGCCCTTGGCCGGAATCGAACCTGGGACCCTTCAGTCCATAGGCCGATGCTCTATCCACTGAGCCAAGCCGGCCAGGGCTTCCTTTGTTTATTGATGAGAGAGAGAGAGAGAGAGAGATTTGCATTCATTGGTTGATTCTTGTATGTGCCTTGACCAGGATCAAACCCACAACCTTGGTGTATTGGGATAATGCTCTAACCAACTGAGCTACCCAACCTGGGCGGCCAGGGCTATAGACGATTTCTTTTCAGGTTCAAGTTCTGAAAGCCAAGCCTCCAGGAAAAGCATGGTTCTGATTCACTGGTTCCAACTGGACCCATTCCTGGTGGCTGGGGACAGGGAAATCAGCCAATTTAGGCCTGGATCCTCTGGTCACCTCTGGGGTTTAGGGACAGCATGAGTCCCAGCCACATGACATACTCAGCTGCAAATCAATGGGTGTCACTATAGATAGATGCCTCTTTTTTAAAAAAGGAAGTTTTGGGGTTTTTTTAAATTGATTTTTAGGGAGAGAAAGAGAGAGAAACATTGATTTGTTGTTCCACTTATTTTATGCTTCTTTTTTAAAATATATTTTTAGCCCTGACTGGTTTGGCTCAGTGGATAGAGCGTCAGCCTGCAGACTCAAGCGTCCCAGGTTCGATTCTGGTCAAGGGCATGTACC